GTTTAGATTTTAGATGAATTTATCCAAACTAGTTGTAAAACGTATTGCTGTTTATCAATTTCTGTCATTTGAGTGCCGTTGATGCTCACATGAAATGCATTTTTATACAACTGAACTCACAATAATGCTGTTGTCATTTATAGATTTTTCTGTTTCGGTTGTCAAACAGCAGAACAAATTAAAAAAAATAAATAAAAATAGTGACTAAAGCTCATTCAGACAACATGTTAACTTGCAGTCACTTTAGCTAAAATACTCATTTTATAATGTTGTCTGTTTGCTTTTAACAAACGCAGGAGCTGAATACGTGACATATCCATACACACCATCGCTCAGAGAGTTAGAAGCGATTTGCATCTGTGTTGGCTGCCCTGTTCAATTGTTCTTGTCAGTCACAGACAAAGGGAGAGTTTTCTTCCTGAAGGAGGCGTAACCAGCAGCAACTCAGCGGCATGTAAATCTACAGACATAGAAGTCAGCAGGGTTGACTCAATGAACCGCTATATGAAGCAGCCATAATGTCACTATGTTCTCCACATAATGAGCTGAGATTTGTGGTGAATAACAGCGATAATAAGGTCAACATATCGTCGCCACAACGTGACCCCCACACGCTTTTGTTTCGAGTATTTGATGCTCGCCTGATTGCACCAAATGTCCCTCGATTGTCTTCATCATAATGACTGTCGTGCGTTTTCTGTGGCTGCTGCTGCTGATATGTTAATTATCTGACGCGCAGGCTGAAGCCTTTTATTAACATTCAGGAGAGTTCAAGTTCAGTTCAGCTCCTTTATCTTCACTGTCTGTCGAAAATGAATGAATGTTTAGTGTTTAGCCGGCAGATGAGACTCGGGTGAAAATCAGAAACGGTGAGTGTCTCTAACCGGCCACAGAACATGAAAATACATCAGTGTGTTCAAAACAAGATTGTGCTTCACACGTTGAAAAAAATTTGTAAAAATATATATTTTAGTTTTTGAGTTGTTACCATTTGTTCCACTAATTGTGTTTAATTTTAGAAATATATTAAACTTAACTATAGTTTTGGTAGGAACCATGGATCCATCCATATATTTACACTTAAAGGAACTTTTTGGAGCCATAATACCACCTTTGTTTGAAAAGTTTTCTTATAATATTTTTAAAAATGGCCTCTCCTGGAGCAGTTTGATCATTTAGGTTGACCGTAAACTATTTGTTCTGCGTCCTCACCAAATCTCATGACTGTGGGAGGTCAATTCCTGATAAAACCTCTAAACTGCAGTAATTTTCTAATCTCCAGAAAGCTCCAGTCGGACTCACCTTTGTGTCTAAGTGTGCCACTAACAGTGAGAATGAACCCGACAGGTAACAAAGGACAGAAAAGAATCCAGTAAGGAGGATTTGTCTGAGAACATTGGCTCGTTTAAGCGCTGAAAATGAACTTTTAATGATCTGTGTGAGTGTGATTTATTTCATCTGATGAGGTGAAACGTTGGAAGTAGAGGGGAATACATTGAATTCCTCAACGTCTCTATCATCACATACAGTACATCTCTGATAATGGCTTTAAAGGCTGCCGGCTCCGGAGGTCTCAGACACTTTAAAGGGTAATTTGTCCGAAGTTTCCACGTGGCCACTTGGACTCGTCACTAATGGTGGAGAGCTAATGTCAGCGGCTGCAGAAAATGATGCTCACGTATGACCTTTATCTCTTCTACCTTGAGTGCTTCTCTTCCGTTAAGTGACGTCTCATCTCGACTGGAGAGTCCACTCACACACTCAGAGTGACGTATTTATTACAGCTGTAAGAACTCTGACTGTTGCTTCTGACAAGCCGAGGAGGAAATAATGTGTCGTTGTTGCAGAGCTGCGAGGCCTCTAAAAGCCTCAT